GTTTCTCTCTCATCAATGTTTCTAACTCTCTATCCCTCTCCCTTCCTCTCTGCAAAAAAATCAATAAAATATTTTTAAAAAACCACAAACATCTCTACATCAAAAAACTAAAACTATAGGAACTTAATGAGAAACACTCTACATTTTAAAAAATTAAAATGTAGTAAAAGCTGGAGTGTTTCATATAGGAATTAAACCACAAACTGTCTGCAATCCTTACTTTTAGGCCTCTATATAAGAGGGTGTGTGCGTTTTATTTTGTAGTCCCCAAAATAAAATGGGTTCTGAGAAAACTTTAAGATAGACAAAGACAAATAACCAAAATAATAATATGAGAAACCAAATAAACAACAGCTTGTGTGACTTCATAAAGGGAAGTCCACTATAAGGAGCCCCAGGGATTTATCTTAGGTGGTTAGAATAGGAAAAGAAAAGCAAATAAGCAAGTGCTACTATATGCCAGGCAGTGAAGGCAGGAAATCTTAAATTATTAACAGAATATTGAGGTCCTTAGCAGTGTCTTGTCCAGAGTGTTCTAATTACCTCCTACTTCAGTGTCAGAGCACACCCCCCCCCCAAATTTTAATCTTCCCAAATTACACCACTTTCCTGCTGGTAGAAGGTTGATGGTTTCCTAAATAAACTTAAACTACGATTCAAGGCCTACAATCCAGTTCCAATCCAACTCTTGAGCTTTATCTCTTATTTGTATCACTCCTCACAAGTACACTATCCTAAACAAACTAGAAATGTTTTAGCAAGGACAACTTACATTTTTCCATCTCCCTACTTTCTGTGTGTGTGTGTGTGTGTGTGTGTGTGTGTGTGTTTTAAGATTCCTGCCCCCCAAGATTAAAAATGGCGGCAGAGCAGGTGGATGCTACACGGACATGCTCCCAGGATCAAGCTGGAATTACAACTGAAATATGGAAAGGCTTCCAGAAAACTCACAGGAGAGAACCCTGATACCCGAGGACAGAAGGTGGAGACCGCATAGAGACTGGTATGAGGGGCAGAGGCGCAAAAGGGCTGGCTGGGCACCCACAGACAGCAACTGAAGTCCTGGAGAGATACCTCAGTTGGGGGGGCGGGGGGGGGGTGCCACTGAGAATTCTGGGATCTAAAGATTCCTCCCCCCTTCCCCCACACACACACCATTTACTGTCAAAATAGTAGAGATCAATTTCATAGCCCCACTGCTTCCCCACCCCCCACTCAACCATAGCTTTCCCTCCACTGACTCCAGGTTTTAAAATCTGTTAATCACATATAGAAATAATTATACCAAGAATTGTATCACAATTAATATCCATATAATGCTTTACCTTTTACAAACTCCTTTCTTATCTGCCATACTAACCTACTAAGGTTCAATTTAAACATACAATTGCCAATTATTTCATAAGGCATATATTTTATTTCATAATGGAAAAAATATATTTCCTCCCAAAATTAAACACTCATACACAATTATCTGAAAAACAGTGTGCCTGGAAACCTGCGGTACAAAATTGGCAATCATTAAATCCTATTAATACTCTGTAGTTATAAAATACGTAACTTAATTTTTTCCCTCATGTAGTTTATTATATTATGTATCTATGGATATTAGACAGTACAGACTCATAAAAGGCTGAATAGACAGCTCTGACTTCAAAAATCCAACTTCTCACAATGTCAGATATACTGGTTTCTGGCTTTTCTATCTTCCCAGCATTCTTCCTTGTCTTTTGGTCTGTGACAATGGAGAATAAAGGTATTTGTACTTTTGAGAACTTTAATCTTTCTATATTTTACCAAAAATTGAAGATATTTTTAATATACAGTTGCATCCTTTTAGAATTATGAAAGATCTCAAGTCTGGGCACTGTAAGGCACATAGTTATCTATCTGTTAAACGAATCAAGCCTTAAGATTTCCAAGTATAGAAGTAAAATCTATTTTCCATTGACCTGGGTGCTTCCTCTTGTTGAACTAATCTATATTTGACTTCAATGTCAAATTAATCATGTCATTTGGAATATTAAAATGTACAATAACTAATTATACATTTAATTTTAAAAACAAATCATTCTGATCTCTATCTTGATTGGTACTAGATTACTTCCCAAAATAAAGTGAAGTGAAAGCTTTGGCTAGCAGCAATGATTAAAAAAAACAAATATTTGCCTAATCACTCTTATTTGAGAGTACAGTGAGTGGAAAGGAAGACTATAGTGCTAGATACATGTTTTCTGCAGAAGGTATGCTTCTAGCAAAGGTGGGCTTGCTCTGATGCCCTATGACACTAGTCTCTTCAGCCATCTGGAACACTTCCTGTCAATATGTGTGAAGTAGCGCGTGTGGCCATGATTGACTCAACAGTCGGTTTTCAGACTGACAAAAGCCTGTATCTAGGGAAATAGAACCAAATGAAGCAAAGGAGGAATGGTACAGAAAGGCAAAGAATCTTTTAAAAAACCAAAGTGACTCAGATGAACCACAGGAATCTACATGCATTTGAAGATGTTTAGAAAAATAAGCCCTGGCCCAGTAGCTCAGTTGGTTAGAGTGTCATCCCGATATGCCAAGGTTGTGGGTTCAATCTCCAGGCAGGGCACATACAAGAAGCAACCAATGAATTCTTAAATAAGTGGGACAACAAACTGACAAATGGATGTCTCCCTGTCTCTAAAATCAATCAATAAATAAAAAAGTAAAAAATATTTACTGAAAAAAGAAAACCCCATTTAAATAAGGGGGAGGGATCAAGCTCCATTCTGTCAGTTAACTGGAGACTGTCACCTTTCCTGAAGTGAAGTGGGGACAGGACAACCTCAAATTTAACTTACGAAAATTTATGACCTGGCAAACATGAAGTTTTTTATTGGCTATTGAACAAAACAACTGAGATGACCATGAAAATAAAGCTACAGTGTATTGTCCATACTGCTCTGTTCCCTCCTCTACATAAAAGTCAAGTATTTCCAACATCTAACCAACTGTTCCTCTGTGTAATCAAGTATATCTCACAGTATCTGTCCACCTAGGCCTAAGTTCTGAGAATTTATTACAGAGCATAGCTTGAAAGCAAGCATACACTGCCTTGCCCCCGCCCACCCCACATATCCAGGAAATAAAACTTTAAACAAAAAAAACATGGATAATATTAATAATCCATGTACATAGTCCATAACTGTGTAAGTTATTCTGCTTCATATTGGTCAAATAAAAGTCAGGTGACCCCATCAGGTGGATGCAACTCTGCTCATCCATTTATTTAGAATTACAAGCTACAATTTATTCTTTTCCAAAAGCTCTAGGACTCTTTGAGAAGGGCATTTTATATAGTCCTCTAAAGGGATATTACATTATTTTATATATGCTGACCACAATACTGAAAAATCCATTGTCAAAGAGCTCTCAAACGTCAAATTTTATCATCCAATTCCTTAGATGCAAAAAAAAAAATCACACATTTCAATGAAAGTACAAAACAACTAAGAATGTTAATTACAGATAAAAACACTTAGTCAACTGATTTTATTTAAAGCACTCACAAACCCTCCCTGGCTATACTTTTTCAATTTTTTAAAAACTACATAACATCTCAATTCCAGATTCAGAAATGGACTTTTAAAGTCAGCTAGTTAGTTTGCCAGAACCGGTTTGGCTCAGTGGATAGAGCGTCGGCCTGAGGACTCAAGGGTCCCGGGTTCGATTCCGGTCAAGGGCATGTACCTGGGTTGCGGGCACATCCCCAGTGGGGAGTGTGCAGGAGGCAGCTGATCAATGTTTCTCTCTCGTTGATGTTTCTGGCTCTCTATCCCTCTCCCTTCCTCTCTGTAAAAAATTAATAAAATATATTTTTAAAAAAAAAATAAAATAAAAAAAAATAAATAAATAAAGTCAGCTAGTTATATTCATCAGTTCTCAACAGACACCCAATTTAGTAAGGCATATTAAATGCAATAGGATGCATACCACCCATTAGCCAAAAGATTATTTTTATTTTTCTATCAAGTCTTAAAATGTTACACCCTAACATCTTACTCAGTTATTTCTTCCCAAACACTGTTGGAATTCCCATCAGGAAGCAAAAGTTGTCCCAACAACCTGGGTAACTTACATGTGTTTGGCCAGTTCCTGGACAATCATAACGTAAGTGTGCTTCAAAGTATGAAAGCTCCATGAATCAACTAATCTTTAAATACTGCATACGTACACTTAGGGAATTCCAGGCACCGGGCTAAATTCTAAGTACTGGTCTCTGAATATTACAGGCACTTAATTCAATAAGAGAGGTAACAACCAATCAGTCCCAAATTAACTAAATTAAGCACAACTGCCCACGAGTAATCAGAAAGACACCACATTGAAGTGGATGTTCCTATTTAACATATTCAGCATCAGCTAGGCCCCAAAGCGGTTTGCGAGCGAATCCTCCATACAGGAGGCAATTCGCTGCTCCTCCGAGTGAGTGGTCAGGTGTTCACTGCTCTCCACCAAAACTTCATTTCCCAGGACCAGAGTTGGTGGGCCTCACTAGCGCACTCCCGGTCTCGTCCCATGCCCCACAGCTACCCTGCCTGAAGTCAGAGCAAAGCCTTCGAGTTGGGTGGTGTTCCTTAAATTATTAACCCGTGGGGTGTGGGGGGGGGGTGTCACAGAAGAGCTCACAATTAAGGAGGTCTTTCCTATGGGCGCGGAGAGGGCGAGGGGCCAAGGAAGTACAGAAAGGGTCCTGGAGTCTCAGGGTCCTCCCACGCTCACCCCAAATTGGGGAGAAGATGGGAACTAAAATGTGTCCCCACCACCGAGGCCCTTCTTCGCCACCCTTGACCCCAACTCCTAGGCCGGTCCTCCGCCGGGCGCGCTGGGTCTCGGCTCCAGCCCGGGGAGAGGAGAGGCATTGAG